TCATACATACATAGGTATGCATATTTAAAAGGTGTTTTGTGTACCAAAATAATTATTGTAATAATAGTTAATTTACACACAAGTGGGACTAATTTTAAATGTGAAACTTTCAAGACGTACTTGTAAGTATTTAAAAATGACTTAATTTAAAAATTAGTACTAACTTAGGAGTTGACTTGTACCTGAGCACAAAAAATGAGCGAGGCGTAAGAAAGAACTTATTACATCATTAGGTTTCCTTTCTTGCTAGATTCCTCTTTGCCTTTGCTAGAGACTCTAGAAATTTCAGAATAAATCGCCGAGGGTAGAGAGTGTATGCCGTCCTGTTTTGGCCATAAATGCCCCATGCTGCTCTCCCTTCAACGTGCGACGGCCTAAAACTCCATAAGAATATGTAATGGAGTCTCCTTGGCAGCGTCACAAAAGTGGCATAGGTCACTAGACCAGATTCTTAAATTATACAAGTGGCGTCTTAACATACAGTTGTCCGCCAAAGTACCAGTAATGATCCTTAGTCTCTCATTAGGGAGTTCTATGAGTACCATATATCTTTTTAGATTGTACCCTCCTAGTAAGATTTTGGATTGACGAAGTCACATGGCACTACGTCGATGCAGTTCCCTTAGTCTGATGTTTTCCTTCCTGAGCACTTCCTTTATTGTGTTGGGACCTATTGAAAGAAAGAGTTTCGATCCTATCGGGGTCGAGGCAGTAGCCAGTCTGGCCAGATGGTCCGCTTCCTCATTCCTTCGACTCCCATGTGCCCTCGTACCCATAGCAATTCGAGGGTATTGTTCTCAGCCAGAGACCACCGATGATTTTGTCTCGAAGGATGAGAGAGACTTGAGTTCCGCCTGGCTATCGCTTAAAATCGGGGTCCTCTCGCTTCGATACTGCCTTCGCAGGTTAATCTCAGCAAACAGATTAATGACCTAGACTTCCGATTGAAAGATGCTGGGAAAGGTTCATAGGGACACCGAAAGCTTTAGTCTAGGGCCATAAACACCTGCTGCTATCCCCTCAGGAATTTTAGAGCCAACTGTATACCACTTTAATGTACTCGCCTGGATGTATCTCCCCATGATAGAGGTACTCCAGGTCGCCTTTCTCTGTGTTTCAACCTTATAGTTTCTTTCGGAAGCACTACGGCCGGCCAGACGCCGGCCGCGGCCTTCTTCGCAAGTTTATCGGCAGTCTCATTTGCTTCAATACCAATTTGTCTATTTGTCTCGGATTCCAGAGAACCCAAACACGATTGGTCAGACCAATAGGGTTCAGCTTGTCAAGGCGCTTCATCACCAGTATAGTGTTACCTGATGAGAACTGAAGACCTTAGTAGCCGCTTGGCTATCAGTCAAGCTCGCATTGTTCTGATTCCGGTAGTTTCGCTTGATATACAAGTCTGCGCATTTTTTATAGCCTATGTTTTAGCTGGGAAAACGGACAACATCGGTCCAACTACAACTATCCTGGTACGAAGTTCATTCAGTGAGCCATCAGCGCAACAGGTTTTGGTTATTCGATGTGTCTCGGATATGACTGCCCGGCTCTTCTTATTACTTAGATCAGTTTTTTACCTCCATCCGAAGCATGATATCCATCGGTAACTATTGCAATTTCAGGGTTAAGTAAGAATATCGATCGTACGCCCAAAAAACCCCGATATTAGCACCAGTCACTCTTAGTGGATCCCTTTTCACCCGAGTCTGTATACGCAGGCCAGCCTTTGTATCTTGGTGAGCGCTTTGTTTGTCACAAGTCGTGAAGTTCAATCGACCCAGATGATGGCTATCATGTGTCGTAGTGTCGCCGTGTAGATCCATCTCAGTATTTGTGGGTAGCGCCGGCAGCTATTTCCTGCCATCTCTATATTCCTTCCCCTCATTCTGTCTCTTAGCAGGCTCAGCTTCGGGTTTCATGAAGTTTATTTGCTTTTGCTTTTAATCCTTCTAAACTGACTCACCCTTTTGGAACCTTTCGGGTCGTGAAAAGAAAATATGTCTCTACTTTATCCAACAGATTGGTTCCTTTTTGCCGAAGTAGAATAAGTAAGTAATGGCAGATTTTGTTTTCAACCTGCTTGTATGCTATTCCAGCAACATGTAGACCTCAATGTTCATAATTTAGCTTATATTGAACCACATACATACATACATTTATACATAAATATCTACCTACATAAATTTGCGCATCTGTGTCAATTGCACTGTGAGATTGCTATGGTTTGAGAGAGAAGCCAATTCATATTACTTTAAGTTACTTATATGCGCACATACAAATGAACAAATGCACAGATTTGTATGTGAAGAGCATTGTCATAAATCTGCTATCCTAAGCTAATTGCAATTGCATGCATCTCCGTAGTATGTATGTACATATGCATGTACATGTCTACAAGATATGTATAGTAACTAATGTACGAATTGATTATGCGAAATTAATACAGTCGTCTGCGAAATTCATATTCCCACGGTTTTGCCCCATTGGCCCTTTTTTTGGTTATCCATAACTTAGATTTTATATATATGTATGTTAATTAGGTCAATAGTGAATTATTGGGAAGAATAAATTTGAATTTAGTCTCTGGGTTTGGATCAAACTTTGTACAAAAATTAAAAAAATTCTGCGAGGTTTCACCTAAATGTCAAACTTTTTAATTAGACTCTAAAAAAATTTAATTTTTAGTATAATTAAGTGCAAGATTGAAGTTGTTAAAATTGCGTTGGTTTTTGGCAATTTTTTTCCTTTAAAGTGTAAAGCAGTTCCTTCCATAATAAAATATTTTTCGAACGTATTTTAAGAGATTTCTGCAACCTTGCGGAGTGATGCGAGCTTTTCTTTTTATCACATCACGAAGTAGCGAACACGTGACACAGAACAGAAACAGCTAATTGGGATTAACCGATTTTGACAATTCTCAAGTAAAAGTAAACAACGCCCAGCGTTCGGACTACTGAAGCTCGATTCAGGAGTAAACGACTCGAAAAATCGGAGAAAAAACGAAATTTTCGGAGCAGATCAACATGTTTTATTAAACAGTATAGTATTGAAACGAAGTGCTTGTAAATTAGCTTGATCTCTAAATAGTATTCAAACCTAACTTTCCACGAATAAATTTATATATATATTTTTTTGAATAAGTAAATAATCAGACGGCGTATAAATTTCTGACCTTTGGTTTAACTTTCGACTGTTTCGTCATTAAGCCTGTTCCTGTATTTATTTTTAATGAGATTCATCTCTGAAAATTTTCTTTCGGCAGTACTGTGCAGTAAAACAGCTAACGTCAACATATACTCTGCCAAGTTGTTAAGCCTTTCCAAAACATTTTTGTGGTGATTTGGGAAATAAAAAATGATTCCGCAAGGAATGTTAAGGAGTAAAAGAGACAACTTCTGTTACACCTTTATATACAAAACCTTGGTGGTTGCCATAGAAGTTATTGAGCCAAAATTTTAAAAAGTTACCATATTATTTTTAATAAATTCGTAATGTGAATGGAGTATATTTAAGTCAAGCAGAGTAGGGAGTAGATTTTACATTTAAAAAAGAAATCGGAGTAAATCTACTCCGATCGGAGCAAAGTCCGGACGCTGGCAGCGCCTCAGAAACCTTAGATGCACTTAAATTTGCTAAAACTTTCACAAAAACTGCAGTTTTTTTTAACATTTTCGCTATTAATTCTTTTTATAAATCATATAGTTTGCAATTTAACACAATAAAGCCGCGTTTCCTGTCAAAAAATTTATTACTGAGAAAATGTACTATTTTACAGTTTATTTTATCCTCCCATTCGGCTTTGTTTACTTTTACTTGAGAAATTGCATCGTCGCCGGGTATGTGGAATCTTGTATTATATCATTTTTTGTTACCATATAAGTGTTTAGTGTTGGACAATTTTTGTTCTTAATATTAAGACAATTATGTCAAGCAAAAATAAAACTACTCAAAAACGCGAATATGTGGTAGATTTCAGACTTTGAGTGGTAGATGTGGTAGATGCTCAAAAAAGTGGCAGATCTACCACAATGTATTCCATTAGTAAGTGGGCTAAGAGAAAATGGCTCTAAAGTCCCAAGGTAAATAGAATGCAACAGTTTAGATCTAAGATAAGGAATAGACTAGGGTCTACAAGGTTTATTCGAAGCTGATGCCACTTGGAAGCCGGGGAAATCTCCGATGTCGTAGGATCAGCCTGATTGGTGAAGACCTCAGAAAACTGTGGAGCTCGAGATGAATTCATGTCAGCTACCAGCCTGTCCAGCGGCTTTACTAGTAGAAGAGCGCGAGCCCAATTGATGCTGCAATTGCAAAATGTTCAAAGGACCACCAAAAAACGTACGATATTTTTTGTTGGCAGAGGAGAAAGCGACTATCATAATCGCCATGAAAACTAAAAATCAAAAGGTCTAAGGGAATCTTAAGAATGTTAAACTAGCATTCTTTCGAAACTGTCTAAAAACAGATCATGTTGCCTTGAGTAGTGCCTTGTCGGATATATTACGGGTCGTTTAGTAAGGCAGTTAGCTAGGAAGATAGAGAAGCATACGAAACATATTTTGTGAATTAGCAGAGGACATGATTGAACGATTTTTCGATGCCTAAAAAAACTAAGGCAGCAGAACCCGAATGAATTCAATGGAAGGATTAAGCTCAATAGGACCAACATACATATATGTATGCACTTGGACCGATTCCTCATAACTTATGAAATTTCGAAAGTATTCGATCTCGGTGCAGGCTGACTATACGAAGAGCCCCAGGCAGAACTTATGTCGAATATTTGATATATGTATTTATGATATTTAATTTGTACTTAGACACTTGTGGAGCGCGTGCTGCTGGAACACCAGAACCAAATACGATTATTTAAAAATTTTGCTTGTCCTTCTTTAGCATTTGCATGCAAAGAGGCAAGAAAGCACTTAGAAAAACGCTGTTTTTCTTCACACCAAAACAAGGCATATTTGTATAAGTACATATTTGCACACATCACCTACCTTTTTGCAGCTGCTGCTGTTGTTGTTGATACAAGTGGTGATGGGGATCACGCCACGGTTGCCACAACAAACTGTTCGCCATATTCGAGTTGTTTTGTTGATCGCGCGCGTGCAACAAATGCGCATGCGCGTGTGCAACCGATTGGTGATGATGATGGTGGTGGTGTTGCTGGTGGTGGTGATGCAAGTGTTGCAAATGAGACGGCGGCGGCGGTAGTGGTAGTGGCAACGTTTGCAATTGCAGGTGTGAAATTGTTGGTGATGGCGGCGCTGCGGCGGCGGCGGCGACATGATGCGCGCCACCTAACCGCCCCGCCTGTTGCAATTGTTGATGCTGCAGCTGATGCAGGTGCTGTTGTGCAGCCATGGCCGCGACGGCAGCAGCAGCTTGTGCAGCGGAAAATGTATGCGTGAAATGATGCGGCGGTGATAGCGGCTGTTGGGCAGCTGTTGCTGCCGTCGTCGCCGCCGCCGCCGCTGCCACAGCCAGCGGCTGTTGTGGATGCGTTTGCGGAAGTTTGTGGCCATTTGTTAGAGCGTTGTTTATTTTGTTGGTAGCGGCTGCTTGATGGCTGCTGCTGCTACTGCTATGCGTGCTGGCCGTTGGACTGGATGCAGGCAGTGCAGCGCCAGCGGTGGCGGCAGCAGATGTTGGTGAAGATGAGAGTGATGAGGCGGTCGAGGAGGATGCTGAGGGCGAAGCTATGGATGAGGTGGTCGACGAGGCATTTACAGTGTTGTTGCTGTTGTGGCTGTTACTATTCGTAGACGCATGGGAAGTGTTGCGTGCCGCTAGCGCATTCTGTGTGGCAGCAGATGCGGCGGCGGCGGATGCAGTTGCGGCTACAACGCGCTCAAACTCCTTAATGCGATTGTAGTAGTTTTGCTCGAAGGCGTTGAGCAGCAGATATTCCATTGTGATGCGCGATACAGGGTGTCAGAATTTTAATTTATTGTGTGTTATTTTTTTTTGTTTAATTCAGTGCACAGCGCGCGCCATATTCAGCTGGCGATTTTTGAAGTCAAACTTGTGGTTTTCCAATAATTTTTTTGGACGTTCGAATAGTTATTTGTTTTCACAGTTCATATATTGATTTTATGCATCAATTGGTCAATCTGTTTAAAAAAATTATATTACTTGCATTTTATTTTTTAATTCACGGTTTTTTGTTGTTATGGGTGAATATACATATGTATATTTATACGTACGAAAATGTCGGAAAATTGAAAAGAATTGAGAATGAACTCTCAGGAAATACGTTTCAAAATACATTTTTTAAAACGAATTTAAACATTTTTTTATTTAATGTAATTTTTCAAAATAAATTTTTTATGAAAAATAAAAAAAAAATTGTTTGCAAAATATTGAGAAAATTTAATTTTTAGTGTCAATTGATTTTAAAACCCTTCGCGCAAAAGTGAATAGGGTTTAAAACATTTCGTAATTTAATTTTAATTAATTGTGTGTGTTTTTTTTACTTTTCCTTCACTTTTAAACGTTTCTCAAGCAGGGATCACACGATTTGCACATTTGTATAGTTCCAGAGTGGGACTGTTTGGAAATTTTTTTTATTGGGTTCAACTCATTCTCGATAAAAATGCGTAGACAACATCAATGAAAATGAACAAATCTGATCCCTGCTTTAGCCACTAATTTAGTTTAAGGCGATCGTAGTTGAAAATTCATGATTTTCATAGAGTATTTTAGTTATTTTTATTAAAACATTTAAATACAATTTTTGTGTATTTTGTTTGTTAAACATTTTTGCAAAAACTCATTTTCATTTCAACATTTTTGTAAAATTTTCGTAGTTGGTTTCTCGACAACGTTTTGTATACGTTTTTCTACTTTTCCTACACTTTTAATTTTTTCGCGTCATTGTTTTAGCATAAACTGGTGGTCACAGTTAAAAGTTTATGAATTTTCATGAAGTATTTTTTTATTTGTGTTTTATTTATGGTTTTCGTTTTTGTTATTGAAAAGCTCACATTGTTTTCCTACATATTTGGCTCTGGCGTCCACGACGTGCCAATGTGTCACTTCAATATTCCCCAACTATATAGTAAATATTTATGTACATACCTAGCTTGAACAAAAAAAAAATGTTAACGAGTTGTTTGAAGTTCACGATTCGAGTTTTCAGCATTCAAATGTTGCTTAAATACGAAATAATATGCGAAAACGTGCCTTGCATATTAAAGCATACTCCATACAACAACAAAAAAAGTATTTATGTATGAATGTAGGAGCACTAAAGCATGAATAGCAACGCTGCAGCAATAGCGTTAACATTGCAACATACAAAACGAATTTTGAGAGGTTGAGAGGAGCAAAAAATTTATAAAAGTTAAAAATTTAATTTTTGATTTGTGGTCATGTCATTTACTTAACAGGCGGGCTAATATTTTCGAACTCGTAAAAACTAAATAATTAGAAAAAAATTGTTCTTTTTTAGTAAAATGTTTTTCGACACAGCTTTTTCATTTGTTTTTTAATAGGCAGTTTGTGACATTAGATGAATACCCCTAATGTAAATTTTTCCAGTTTGATTTGGTTTCTTTTTTATGATTTGTTACTGATTTAAGTGTTTTTAGCTTTTGAGTTCCGTGATCGTTTTCGAAGCTTATTTTAAAGAAGTTTTGGTAAAATAAAATTATTTCACAACAAATGGTTAACAAAAATATTTTATATTTTCATAAAATAATATATGAAATGTATTAAAATAAATTTTTTTAAGACAATTAAAATTTTATTTTTATTTATGATGATTTTATAAATTTTTCGTTAAAATATCTGGCTTAAGATTTTTTCATTTAATTGTTTTTTGTTTAAATAATTTTTTTAATTAAAAAAAATTACCCAGAAAAAAGCGAAAAAGTTTGAAATTTTGACAAATATTTTATGATTTTTGTTGCGTTTACTTAGTTTTTGTTAGGGAATGAACTGTATTTTAATAGAAAAAGAATGAAAATGAAATAAAAGAAAAATAACGCAGAAAAAAGCGAAAGTTTAAAATTTGGATGCAAAGGTGATGATTTTTTCTTTAATATTCCACAAAATTTTTGAAATTGTTGCTTATGTGGTTTTTATTAGAAAATGAACCGATGAAAAATAATGAAAATTAAATTTTGAAAATTACCTAGAAAAAAGAGAAAAAGCAGTGTTCCTAGTCAGTTGCAAGGGATTGTAAATTTGCTTGCTTTAATAGTTTGCATTAAATTTTCAACTGTGAAGTAAAGTAGTTTTGCTTGCTAAAAGTTTCTCATTTTTTTAAGTTAATTTGTATATTTATTTACTTTTTTAATTTCTTTGCTTTTTGTTTTCTATCCTTTGAATTTCACTTCTCACGAATGGTTATATATGCACATACATTTCATATTTCATTTTCAGGATTTAACGCCCTCTTAAGTTAACAATTTTCGCACTTCCATTGGAAATTTTGCAGCCATATCTATTGGCTTATTCACTTAGTAATATATTTTCTGTATTCAACTCATATCCACAGCGCATTTGACTGCATACAAACAAAAAACCAAACAGCACAAAATTCGCTTGCAATCGCATTAATATTTTTTTTAAATTTATTTTTAAACATTTCTCTATTGCAGCAGTTATCTTTTATGCGGGCATTCACTATGTAGCTGCTTAATGCAGGCGCTTGGACGATTCAACGCCACTGCAATTGGCTTTGCTTTGCTTTGCTAGCCTGCTTGCTGGCGCGACACAAATCCATACACAAACAGCTTGTTTGTTTGATGAAGGCGATGGTGGGCACAACACACTCGCCGCCGTCAGTGCTTTGGTTACAATTTCATTTGAATAATTAAAAATATAAATAAAAGAAATAAAACACACAGTGGAGAGCAAAAAAATTGCACGTATGTAATTTGCATGCAAAGCAGTCACTTTAAGTTGCTTTTTGACTGCCAGCCTAGCCTGACTGTCCGTCTGTTGTGCTGTTTGTCGCGCTTATTTATTAGCTATCGACGCATGCGTGCGGTTGTGTGTCGCGTAGAATAAACAGACGCGCGTTGCAATGAGCAACTACTTGTTGCAATTGTTATTGGTTTTGTTGTCGATCAATTACACTTTTTTTTTGTGCCTGAACTTGAGTGGGGGTTTTCAATTACAAGACGAGTTTTTTTGTTTTAGAAAAAAAGTTGCGGAAAATAAATAAAAAAGTAAATGTCCACCAGTTTGCTAGAAAAAAGCACGTAAGCAAAGCGCGTACGTATGTATGTATATACATATGTACATCCGCCGAGTGTTAAGTAACTGTAATTCTCGCTACTAGTCTGTGTATTTGTAATTGCAACTTTTCAAGGGAGACGTCAAAAGTAGAGCCGGAGCTAGGTCAGGATTTTCGCCATAAGTGCCACTCGATTACCAGTTGCAGAAAAAATAATAATAAAAAAGCCCACAAAATAAGGTTAAACGGAAGCAGTTGTTAGCCATGCGGCGGTGACGACAATAACGCCGACGGCTATGTTGTTAGAAAATTATAAAACAACTGCAAAAGTTGCTTTACTTCCAAATCACTTTCTTAGCGCTTAAATTGGCTGAGCTTGCACGTTTTTAATAAAATTTTTGTAAATATATTTTGGACATTTTTTATTTAATTTTTTTTTAGCGTACGCGTCATGCAACTCACTTCTGATTTTTCAGTCAGCTCACGATTACTAACTTCTTATTACATATACTTTGCAGGCTTAACGCAGCATTATATTTGCTTTTGCTGTTTAAAAGCCAATAAGATTATTATTTTTTTTTTTTATAATTTTTAGTTTCACGCACGCGTATTTCGTTTTCTCCGCAAAGTCGTGCTTAATCGCGCAGCTACAAACCGATACTAAGCTTGTCTTCGATGTTGATCTTTAAGTGGCAGCCACTCGCTCGCAAGCCCCATTCAAGTTGCGTCAAGAAGACAAAGTGAGTGTGAGTGTGAGCGCGAGCATAAGCGGGAGCGCCCCATCACACACACACACACTCACTGGGCGGCAAAGGCGAAGTAGCAAGTCTCCAAAGTTGGCGCTCATTCACTTTTGCTGCCCGCATTCGCCGCGCTAGCTAACTTACTATTGTTTACGTTCGCTGTGTGTCTTCTAAATGCATATGTACATTCATGCTTTATCGCTCAGCGTTGGCTCGCATGAGTCAGTTAAAACCGATCGAGCGTTCCACCGATCTAAGCGGGCGCCTTCAGAGCAGCGCGCTACATTTGCGGGTAGTTAGTAGGCAACAAGCTTGTATATAGTCTAGGCTTTTCACAATTTAACCCACTCGCTGGCGATTCAAGCGCTTCTCAGGTGACTCAAAAAAAAGTCTCCACGAACGTGCCGCTCTCGAGAAACTGAGCGCTACTTGGGCTTGCAGGTCTGTAAGTTGACTAGCTTTGCTCAAGCACAAGCGCTATTTTCTGCTTTAAAAAGAAAAATGCCTTTGAAATCTTAACAAGTTGCTTGCCGCCTGCATCATTTTCTGCTTCTGCTTCTGTTTCTAGTTACTTTTTATTTTTGTTGCTGCTATTTTTTCTTTTTTTTATTTGTGCTATTTTTTCAGTTTAATTCTGCTATTTTTTCTTTTTATGTCTCCAATTTTTTCTCCACCTTTTTTGCGCTGTGCCTTTTCTTTATTTTGCCATACAATTACCTTGTTTATTTTCTTTCAATTGTTGCCTATTTTCGCCGTCTTATTTTTGTATTACCGCCATTCACATTACTCTCTTTACTTGCACAATATTTCATCATTTATCATTTATTTACTTTATTGCTTTTCCATTACTTTTTATCTATTTATTTTAAAAAATTTTTTTATTTTAGTTTTATTTATGTTGTTTTTTTTTACTTTCCGTCGCTTCATATTAAAGTTTATTTGTTCGCTGACTCGCCCGATCGGATCAACACGCAGCTCACTGATCAACAACCCGATCGGTTTGCTTGTTCGCCCGTTCGTTTGTTGTTCCATTCGCGCTATTTGTTGTTGTGCTATTTTGCTTTTTTGTAATTATTTTTTCAACAAGTCAATCAACGACTTTTTTGTTTTACCTAGTTTTTTTTTTGTTGCTTATTGATTC